ATATGCTGACTCTGTAAACCGCTTAAAGAGGGCTGAAAGCCCTATGAAGTGGTATATAAGTCTAACTGCTATTGCTATCTCTGACAGGCTTTTTAAAGGATCCAGCAGGCAGATCCCTTGCAAGGATTCCTGGTGCTTTGGGATTGCTCTAAGCAATTGACCACAATCAGGATACCCTGCAAGCTTTCGGACTGACCTGTCCTGGGCCCAGGAAAAGGGCCTCGGATGGGCGAGCAGAGGGCAGCCATGGGGACCTAGAGATTGACGGGGTTTTTAGTGGGCATTTTCGCAGCCTGCGGCGGCTCTGCCAAAATAAACAAGGGGAACTAATTCTGAAGTTTGAAGCGTCTTTTTATAGCCTGGAGTGAAAATAAGGGAGGATCAGAAAGATGGACAAAGTTATTCATTTTAAGCTCTGGGTTTCGGCCACTGTCATTAGTGGCCAGTTCTTTGGTCAAAGAGGTGTTTCAATGAGAGGCTGGCTGTGTGGCTCACCTGGAGCGTCCGAGGAGAGGCCGGGGCTCTGGCACTGGACCCTGCCAGGAAAATCCCGGACGGCTGGACAGCCGCCTGAAATAGCTCCCTCTCCGCCTCTCCAAAACAAGAGGCTGTAGAAGCACGTGGCCCGTTATCACCAGCGGTAAACACTGGACGCTGCCAAGGATGCTCCCACCTGTCAGCTGTTCTCTCTGTGTTTCCTTTGCCCCCGGCTGCGCCCACCCATTCTCCGGAGGAGGAAGATGAGTTGCCATTTCCTGGGTTTTGTTCCAGGGGCTCCTCGGAATGGCTCACCAGGGCCCCTTGCAGGGGGGGCGGTGGGGAGGGGGCTTCGGAGGGGAGGGCTCGCTTGAACAAAGGGCAAGCAAGCATCATCCGGACCGGCGTTTTCCCCCAAACACGCGGCGGCCGCGGCGGCTGTTTTGGCAACACGGAGGCTGCGGAGGCCGGAGGGAAAGAAGCGGCGGAGTTTGTGTACAGTGGCCGCTTGGAGCGCCCCGTGCCCGGCCAGCCCTGAAGCAGCGGAGGGGTCGCCAGGGCCAGGAGGACGGGTGGATGGAGCCCCCGGACCCTCCGCCCAGCCCTCCGCCCCCAGGGCCGCCCCGAGGGGGACCCTCCCTCCCAGGCTCCCTCGGAGGCGGCCAACCCCGCTGAGAGTCCTGGGTGCCCAGGGCTTTCGGGGCAGCGATGCCAACCTCCGCCTGGCCAGGCGTCTGCGGAAGGCAGGGGGTCTCGGGGCCTCCAAGAGCGGGGTGGGGGGGCGCCATGCCGGGAGAGACCCCCTGCCAAAGCCTCGCCGGCCTCGGGGGTCCCGGGCGCTGGAGCCTCGGCGGGAGGCGGACAGCGGGACTCCCGGGGCGGCCACCGCAGAAGCTCCGCCGGGCAGAAGCCCCCCTGTCCCCCCGTGCGGGACAGAGCCACGCGCATCGCCGCCTCCTCCCCGCAGGAGGAACCCCCCCCTCCCCATTTGCGGCCACCCGGCGCGGGAGCGGCTCCCCCTGGCGGCCACCCGGGAACTGCAGCCGCCGCCTCTAGAGCGCGGTCGAGGGCCGCGCCCGCAATTCCGGCGCCCGAGCGAAGCCTGCGCGATGCGGGGCAGGGACAGGGAGGGGACCCGCGGCTGCGGGGGGCGCTGAGGCCTTCGACTCCGCCCTCTTCGCCACCCTCCCCTCGAGGATCCAGGACATGAGAGGCGGGCGGGAGGGTAGGTGGAAAACCCGGCGGGAGGATCGGCCGCGGCCGGAAGGGAGGCNCCCTCCCTCCCTCCCTCCCTCCCCCTGCAAGGGCCGGACTCCCGAGCCCATCACCCACCGCCTTGGCCCTTCACTTCCTTGTCTTTCGGGGTTTTCCCCGACGGAGCGTCCGCTCCGCATTCCAAGCCATTGACGGGATTTTGGCGCCCGATAAACCCCCGGAGCATCAGGAGGGGAGCCCGAGGGGGGCCAGCTCAGCCTCCCCCCATTTGTGTTCCACCTTTTCCTGGGCAGCTGTGTGGAGATTGGGCACTCGCACCCCTTAGGGGCCGGTTGTGTTGCCCCTAATCCCAATCTTCCTGGGGAAGAGCCGTCGCTTGCGGCTGAGCTGGGCCGGCGGGTGTGTGAGTGTGTGTGCGAGCGTGCGTGCATCACGGGACACCTTCTGCACACCTGCGATTGGGGTGTGTGCGTGTGTGTACATTTCCCTGGGCTTTTCTTTCAGCCGCCGGCAGCTCTTCATGCGGCTCCCCGCCTTGTCTGCAGTTTCCGTGGGCCGGCAAAGGATGTGGAAGTTTTCATTCGTGTCCCAGGCTGTGCCTCCCCCCCCCCCCATTTCCTTCTAGATCTACCCAAGAGCAGCCCAAAGCTGCATTGCGCCCCGAGGGCCTGCGGTTCTCTTCACACTTAATTGCTGTGCAAGTCTCCAAAAGACCCCAACCCATCCCCCCCCTCCTTCAGCTTCTCTTTGTGCAGGGATGAGGCCTGGTAGGGCCTTTTGACTGGCAGCCCCCAAACTGCAGCTCCCACTTTGCTTTTCTGCTCTTATTTCCCTGACAGCAACTGGTGGGTGGATATTCTTTGTGTTCCGTCCCTGACTGGTTTTGCAGCAATAATCTGGTTTTGTGTCACCAATGTACCCGAACTCCAATTCGGAAAAGTGTCCTGGAAAATAGAAGCAATTTGGCCGAGCGGTTATTCAAACCTACCATTAAAACAGAAGACCATCAAATTGCAGCGTTAGATTCCCAGGAATAGGAATGGGGTGAAAGAGGCAGCTGTGGCCAATCCAGGTGCTGCACGTGGGAGAATCCTTTTCTCTGCCTCCGATGGAAAGGTCTCTCTCAGGTGGCTTCAGAGGATGCGCTTACCTGGGAAACTAGAGGTGCCCTTAGAGTCACCCAGACATCCAGAGGGCCACGTGGCTCACCTACTTCGCTCTGTCTTCCTGGCTGCCCCCTTCCCTGGGCTCAGAGGGGGAGACCCGTAACTCTTCTATAAATTTGATTAAACAAACGCTTATAGCCACCCAACTCACACAAAGGTGACTCCGGGTGGCTTCCAACATTTTAAAAACTTCAGCAAGAGAAACTAGCCAAGTTCTGGGTCTCCCCTGTGAACGTGTAAAGGCAATCAGGCTCCCGAACGTGACCAAATCCTCATCCTCCTCTTAGCCTCTCTGGATATTTGTTTGTTTTTCCCTCTCTCTGCTGCAGTTAATTTATATTTGCTCTGCTTTATCTGGTTATTGACCAAAATAAATAGCATCTCTGGTAGATGACAGCCAGAGCATTCTTCTGAAAGGCTGGCTTCCCTCCTCTGAGAGCCCAGGCTCTCTCAGGGGGCTCTGTGGCCCCCTCCTCCCTCAGCCTTCCTCGCAAGGTGAACTCTCTTTCTTTTTCTATCTTTCTCTTATATTTTCTCCGTCTTTTATGGTCTTGTGTTTTTCCTGAGTTCTTTTTCTTATTCTCAACCCTGATTGTAAATAGGTTTGAGATACTTTACAGAAAACATTATGGAAACGTTTTAATGCGTAGTAGAAAAAAATGCTAAATGCTTTTCTTTGGCAAATGCAATTAATTTCCCTGGAGTGTTTTATGGACTTCGTGAAAACCGATCTCTCACGCAACGTGTCCCCTGTAGCCTTCCCCGGGTCATTTTCCAGAAGAACTGGACTACAACTCCCATCGTTCTGACCAGCAGGGCCAGAGAACTTGCTAGCTGCTGTTATTGGTGTTCTCAATTTGAATTGAATTGAATTGATTAGGTTTCTATGCCACCCAATCCTGAAGGACTCCGGGCGGCTTACAGAATAAAAAGAAATTAAAAGAACTTAAAAACAATAGGACACACACAGTTAAAAAAAATGCCATTTGGAGTGAGTCAGGAGGGGAAACAATGGAGGGAGAAAATTCAGTAT